AAAAAAAAAGCATATATTAACAGTCCCTTTCCAAACTTCAGTTTGCGCAGTTGATAAGCTTCACTGATGCCACTGCTTTTTCGCAGTGTATTCACTTTAACAGAAATCCATTGTATGAATGAAATTTCTCAAGCTTTCATCATCCCTCGTAGCGTCCTCTTTAATCAAGCATCCTTTCATTTCGATCTTTGAAAGTATACGCAAAGTTACTTCCGGATGTCATATTCTTCCCTCTCTGTATTTTTCCCAGAAAATGCTGCCTACATAGTCGCTAGCCCTATGTTGTCATGTGCTTATATCAAAGCAACTTGGGCTTGGCTTGATTAATCTTTCTGTGATTAGGGTTACTTAGAGTGTACCCCTTGTAAACGTACTTATTTGCATATCATATTCATCTGTCCAGTCTCATTGTATATTTGCTGCTTTAATGTGGCCAGCGTTCAACGGGGAGTCAAGATGCAGTTCTTCCAGTTCGATGGGTTTGCTATTTTCTAGTTAGAAAGCACGTCGTATATCCCGCTACTTGATTCATGAGAATCTTAATCACTTTCAGACTGTTGTCCATTTCCTTGTTAACCTGTGCGACAGAGTTGCGATATCTGAATTTTGGAGATTTTAGGAAGGAGGTTACCGCCCTAATGACCGATTAGTCGTTATTTCTTTTGATCACCATGATGAAGATGATGCACATGCCTTCAACTTCTTTTCTGCTGAGACGAACGAAGGCACAAATAAATATGAGTTCTTAAGTCAAAGTACGTTTTGTCGGTTGTGAAAGATCATAAATGGAAAAATGACTGCTGAAACATTGCCGATGAAGAGGACATCTCTAAAGACGTTTCGCATTGAAGGTCTTCAATTCCCATGAAATAACCCAGGGTCGTGCTTAAATGCTGTTCTAGGAATTTAACACGGAATCAATGTCAAAATCGCAAGAATACTCCAGTTTGGAGAAGCCATTGTTGACGAGGCACAGCGGCATATGAATGAATATATAGAATGTGAAAAACACCACTCTTGTCACAACTGATATTCTTTCATTTGAGGGGTGTCGACATTTCTACAAGCTTCTGAATTGTCTAAAAAGAGAATTTGCTGACCGGAACAAACATACGCGATGTACTCTCCTGCTTTGTAACCTTGTCCAGCACGTTCACTGTCGGTTACTAATCAATAAATCAAGAGCCTGCCTCCGTATCAAAGTGCAAAGAACTCAGTGTTCTCTCTTGATAAACCCATCTCTGATGGAAAATTTCATTGTGTCGCTTCATCTGCTTAAGCTTGCCATTGTAAATCCACCGTGGAACCTTCCTGTTGCTTCATTCAAACTGAGGCTAACTAAAGAGGAGCTATTATTAAAATAACTG